GATTGTAATGTTTCTGATAGTGTCAGTAATTTAAGTGATAACCGATGTCGAAGTTACAAGGCTGTTAAGCAGCTTTTTGTGTATGAGGGGAAGATTATTTGTAATGACCGTATTAATGTATAATAATTTGAGGGAAAGAAAAGTTTTATTTCGCTAATTCTGCGGAATCTCTTTGTCTCTTCAACTCTCTTTTCCATTTCGTTTATTCCGTTCGAATAGCTGTCCGCTAATAGGCAATGGAGATTGTAAGTTTCTTTGATAATTTATGGCGAATAATTTGCTTACATATCCTGCATGCGCTTGCTGTAGTTTTTTCCTTTAGATAAAAATGAATTTTAATTTATAACTATTCTTTCATTTAAATTATTTTCATATATATCACCATTAAATTCATCATTCGCCATGCAAGTTGCTATATAGCTTTATAAAAGAGGCACTGGAATGCATTTTTTTTCCTCAATTATCGAAAGTTCAGATGTAGAAATCATTTAATGATTGAATTTTTTGATATTATTGGCAACAGTATCAAAATATCTTTTCTTGATTAGTAAATTTAAGTCAATGATGCCGTATGATTGTTGGTACTGCTAACTGCAGAAATTGTCTTTTTGTTGGAATATATTTTGTATATATTTTAACATTTGGGAGAGCCAGGTTGGTTCAATGCTTTCATATTAGATTATTACATGAAATTAGAAATCACTCTATCAATTAAATTAACTTATGTAAATCCAGAAATGATTTATAAATAGGATGTGAATGGTGCTGTTGTTAGCTTAATTGAGGTAGGAGAGATGAAACGAAACTTTTTTTGAAGAGAAGGACTTTGTCATTTAGATTTATACTTCTGCAATTGAATCATCATTTCACATTGCGCTGCACTTTTCGTTCCCTTGGTGATGTGATTTATTCTCATTAGATTCTGTCCTCTTTGTTGTCTCCTTCTGCTGATACTTTCTTTTAATGGACTAATCTCAGCACTGAAAGTATTTTCATTCCTTTACTTAATAATCTTCACTGCTACCTCGCATGTCCTATTTCGATCAATATGTATCGAGAGGAAATGTACATGTATTGTTGAAATTGAAGTAAACTGAACAAAGCTGCTCAATTTTCTAGAAACATATGGATAGTGAATACAGTTTTTGGTAGCACATGATAGCTGATTTTATCGTTTGATTGAGGGACCAAGTGCGAAAGAGCGGCGAGAGCAGCGCGTAGACATGAAATCTGGAAAACTATTATAACGTTTCCATAAGTTGGTCGATCATCCCTACTATTACACTTTAATGAGTCATACAGTTCTTGAGGTTAAATTTCGATGGATAAAGCTCCGGTGAATTTTTATGATAAAGTTCGTGAAAATGTGATTTTTCAATATCGTGAATGCGTTATTTCTCGTAATCTTTTCAACTCGTCATCATCGTCTATCATCATTCATGAACATTCTCAGCAGCAATTAAATTTTCTTCCACATTCCACTATAAGTTTTCTCTATCAAATTATATTGGATTATTCTTGAGTATGGTTTCTGTTTATTAGTATTTTAGTATACTTTATATTGCTTAATGGTATTTCGCATTTTTCGCAAAAAATTTTACGTTTTTGCTAAATTTTCTGTATTAGTTAACCCTCCATTTTGAAAGGCATTCATTACAGACGAAAACGCGAAGCGAATCTGCAGTCTGCAAACAGTTGTGCACTTCTACTGAAACTCGTCTATCATGAAATAGCGTTTTCGAGAACTGGGAAAGTCCGTCGAAAGAAAAAATGTTGCCAGTTGGCCACTAACGAAATATTTCCCAATTATCTTTGGTCGTCTGTAGGAGTGTAATAAAGAACCGGTTATCATAGTGGGAATTACTACTGTTCCTACTTCACTTTTTCTTTTTTTTTTCCTTCAACTAACAATTTATATTGTGTATAATATGGTACGTAATAACCAGGTAAGGGGAAGTTTTTACATTTTACTTACTAGTTGATAACGTTATGCAAAATATGAACATTTTTAGTTTGTCAAAAATACTTTTTAAGAGTGACATGTCTCAAAGTTGATTCATAAATACTACAAGTACTACATTTAAATAGAGTTGTCTTGTAATACGCTACAGTTACCTGTGTACTGTGTAATAAAGCAACTATGTATGTATTGTGTGTGTGTGTGTGTGTGTGAAGTGAAATGTAATTGATAATCACTAAGCCATCATTTGTGCTCATTTGAATTGGTCTCTGCTTTTATTTCACCTCATTTTTTTTTTCATGTCGCTTAAAGAACATTCCTATTTCTTGAAAATTAATTAATTGTATGAACTTAGTTGTGCTGTTAAATTTCTCAATATTATATTGTTGCATTTCTAGATTGAAATGAAATTCAACAATAGGGTCAAGCATTATGCTAACAATTTAGTCATTAAATCAAATGGAAAGTGAGGGGTTTAGAGACTTCCAAACATTAGAGTAGATGAAAATAAAAAGGTTGTAGTGAGTGAGTGAGTGAGGAAGAGGAAAAAGTAAAATATGTAAGGGAGGGATGAGAATGGAATGAAAGCTGGTGCTTTGCTTGAAAGAAGAAGCTAATGAAATGAAGGGCATGATGTCAAGGGATAGCAGGCTTACATCGTTCATACACACACACACACACACAAAGCTATAGATAGCAGACAGAGAGACAGACATACACTTTGGATATGTATCGCTGAGTCGCTTCCATTTAAATTGAACAATTTCAAAGAGGTGTGCATGGCTATGTGAGTAATGAGTGAGTGAGTCAGCTGATAGGAAGCACTGGGAGGGAGAGAGAGAGGGAAAGGGAGAGGGTATTGCTTGTTAGCTTCCTTCTGCCATTCTCTGGGGAATGGCGGCTGGCTCATTGGTTGTTACCTGTCATCGTCGATACTATCGTCACCATTAAGACGTCGTCAACTTGAATCTGATCAGCTTCAGACCGGTTCTTACCATTTTCATGTCATTGGCGCACATATGTTTGTTGTTTCTTCTTCCTACCCAACCACTCTCTCAGATAACTTTTCACAAAAATTTCTATACTCTTCACATTGATATGCTGCTGCTACTGTTGGATTACTCTTTCATCTCCAATTAATTATACCGCTTCTCTCGCTCTACCTCATAGAGTTTTTTTTAATAGAAATTAAAAACTACTTATTGGTGTTTTTTTTCTTCAAAAAACTATTTAAAAACATTTACGCTTTCATCTATGTAATCACAGTATTGCAAGGAAATGTGAAATGAAAACGTTGATACATGCTATCTAACTTTTACTGATAATTATTAGCTACTGTTCGTCGAGAACAGTATTTAAATCAGTTCATTTTGTTGTCTTTCTATTTCTTCTATCTATTCTTCGTTAAAAACGAGATTGCATACAAAATTCATGGATGGAAATATAATACTAGCACGTTGGTTGAACTATGTTCATGTCGAAGACGTGTTTATGTATGCCTGTAGTTTTGAGCTTCATGAGACTTATCTTCTTTATTACTTCTTTATTACTGTTGTAGTAATTAGGAATGCGAGATGAAAAATCCTGTAAAACAAATATTATTCATGGTTCATTTATGGAAAGAGCAGAAATTAATTAATAGTGTGAATTTTTTTGACGTAAAATTTCCATGTAGCAAGTTGTAAATAGATATCAATGCATGGATAAAATAACCGAAATTAGAAAAATTTTTTAAATTGAAAATTCGGCAGTTACGTAGTTTGCGCCAATTATTTTGCATCGTGTTATAATGAGATTTGCTTATAACAGTTTTCTACACTAGAAATCGATTGAAACTGCAGATATGTCATCATTTTTATGGTGCGGATCTATGGTTCCAATCGATTTGCGTATAGCAAAAAACTAATTTTTAGTTATTTTGTTATTATTTAGTTATTAATTTAGTTATTAGCTTATAAACTGTTATTAATTTTGGATTCTTTATATATACATATTTGAAATTTTAGAGAATTATGCTGCCAAACTTAAAGCAACTCTGAAATTAACTGTACAATACTTAAAATTACAGAGGACTTGCGAAATTATTCCATTTGTTAGGGTTCTATGAGATTCTTTCTCACACGATTATCGAATGGAAGCAAAAATTTCTTTTGTCATACTTTTATTCATGGTGATGATTGCGAAGTGAAATAATGGCATAAGTCGACAGTAAGAACTGAAATCAACTGTGAGTTTTTTTTGCAATTTTGTGAATTTCACAACATTGTGCGTCGTTCCTCTGGTACCAATTTTTGTTTTTTTTATAGACTGTGTCATATGACAGTGCTTTTGATTGAGTTGAGAATTCATGCTAGAAATTAGCACAAATTTTTTCCGAAATATTTTGATTTTTCAGTCTTCATATTCTACCGTGAAACAATCCGACAAATCAGGAAGCAACTTTTGAACAAGTAGTTCGAATTTTGAAATCGATTTTATCATAGTTTTGTACATTGATTTGATTTGATTTTATCATCGACTTTTTGTATGAAACACCGCACTTCTTTGTCCAGTATTCCGATTCTTAATTTTGTTGTGTGAATACTTTCACATAAGAAGCTGCTAATTTCATACCGTTGAATTAGGTTTTTATGATTGTTTTTAATTTGAAGTTCATTTTTTAATTTAAAAGCTAAAGATTCTCGAGTAAGTCTGCGATGAAAATCGTTAAAATACAATTACTTTTGTTTCGATTCGAAGGGTGTTTTTATTTGTCTTAATTTATGGATTTTTTCGGTTCATTCTATTTCGTGATTTCTCTAACGTTTCACATTTTGTATTCAAAGTAAATCTTAATTTCTTGACAGGTTAAAGACGCTGTATCTACCTACAATTTCTGCTACAAGTGGTGATTATTTTTCTTTTTTAAACATATCGAAAGGAATATTCATATATCTTGTGCGTGCTGTATTTCATCGCCTTCTCCTTGCTGCTTGTACTTGACACTTCGTCACTTCACGCTTGGTTGCTGCTGATCAGGTTGTGTTTTGGGCGGAAGAGAATGTTATCATCTTCTGGTAATTGTGGTACTTCTGTAACGGTTACTAAAGCCGCTGCAGCTGAGAATTCTGTTACTCTTGGTGATTGTTATACGGCAGCATCGGATGACATTCCAACAACCAGCTGTGGACGATTTGAAGGTGATGAGGATGGTGGTGACAATGAAGGAGGAAGTAGTGGCGGTGGCATTAGCGATGCTAATAATGGTGTTGTGCCCATGGAATCTGCCCCATCATCATCTTCATCAACGTCGTCATCATCTGGACTAGGACCAGTAGGAGTTATGCCAATGGAAGGTACCACTACTACAGGTAAAGAAGATTTGGGACCGGTTTCCAGAGATCGTTGTAATACTTGGCCGATGCGACGACCACAACTTGACATTAATGCCCAAACCAGTCCGTTGATCCATGAGCAAATTCCAGAAGAGGAAGCTGAGTAAGTTCATTATTATTAACATCTTTTTTTACTGCCCTTTTTACACACTTTCAACTTTTAATATTTTTATTCTTTCCTTATCTGCTGCTCAAGAAATAGTTTCAT